TATATTATTTGGGATTAAAATCAGGCTAGAATGGTTATATCAAACAGTATAATTCTTGGTATCAGACAGGTTAATTCATAGCCAAGTTCGATAATATTATCTATAATTGAGTCAAAAGGTGCTAGAGAGTTGAATTGGATATTGGATTCTTATAGCAATCTGGGTTCGTGGGCGGATTTGAGAATCGAATTTGATAGTGGACTCGTATAGCTAGAATTGAGTTAAAAGGCGCTAGAGATTTGAAAAAGATAGTGATTCATATAGCAAACTGGGTTCATAGGCGGGTTTGGAGGTCTATTTGGGTATACTTGAAATCTGTCCCAGTACCCCTAATATTGCCTATATAAAAAGTGAAAGTCTTGTAACTAAAGTTAAAAATCATTGCTCTTAAAGAGACTTAGAATTGCTTGAAAATTTTTTGGTAAAAAGTACTGTAATTGGACTATAGAAGATTAGAAAAGGGTAATGTGATCAGATGAAAGTAAATTTATGATTTTTGACTTAGATAGCAGGGAATAATATTAAAAGAATTCAAATTTACCTTTGCAATCATAATATATTAAACTAACAGTTAAGTTTAGTAGGGTCTTATGATAATATAGGATTGTATAGATGCATTTAGTATGGAATTATGTTATAAAATTGATGAAAGAACGAATGGAGACTTATATCAAGACATTTTGAAAATAAGTTTCTTGAAACTCCTAATGCATATGATTTAACTATGAATAATGTTATTTTTCAATAGGATAATAACCCAAAGCATATAGCTAATAAGACAATAGAGTGGTTTGATGATAATAATGTTGTAATTTTGGATTAACTAATATAATCACTAGCTTAAATCCTATTGAACATTTGTGAAATAAAGTTAATTATCATTTGTAACAACTTCCTGATAATATTACCAGTATAGAAGATTTATGAAATAAGATCTAACTAGTATGAAATCAAATTGATGTTGATATTTATTTAAAATTAATTAACATAATACTACAATAAATTAAAAATATTCTTAAGATTAGTAAAGGATATATAAAGTGATAATTAGTTTTAAAAAAAAATTCAAATAGGATTAGTTAGAAATTTTATTGACAAATATGTAATCAAAAATTTTTTTGATATATGTCAAAAGTATTGCATTGCAAAATATTAGTGATTCAAGAATTTTTTTAAAAAGTTAATAATATGCAAATTAAATTTTAATAAATAATAAAGGAAGCCTGAAGTTTAATAATTTAAATAGATTTAATGATATTATAATTTAAAAATTTTAAATGAAGTGATATAATAATTATGGAAATTACTGTATTTATAAGAATATCATATTAATTATTTTATTGATTTTAGATTAAAATATCCATAAATTTATCTTAAATTTGAATATAATATTAATAGAAATTATATTTTGATAATTAGCTGGTAAATATACTTATTTTGAATTTAAAATTTATAAAAAGAATTCTATTGAAAAAAGATTAATGATTAAAAATTTGTAAATATAAGTTATTTTAAATAATTAAATTAATACCTTGATAAATTTGAAAATAATTAAACTATGAAAAAAAAATTATATATTTATTATATAAATAATTATTAAGTAAATGAATTTATAAATAAATTAGATAAGCTTCATTTAAATCTAAAAAAATTGTTTATTTTATTAGAATCTGTTTGATAAAATACAGCTTTTAATATTATGTATAATAAAAGACAAATTTATAATATAATTTGATATTTGTAATATTATTATTAATATTTAAAAATATAGAAGATATTCTATTATTGTTATAATTTTTATAATCTGTTAATTATATGCTTATTAGGATGATAATTATGATAGAATAAGAAAATATAAAGCAGATATTAATTCATATAATTTTTTTAAATATCAATTACAGAGGTTTCAACATTATTAATATAAGTCATATTAATGATAAATTTGAAATTTAAATCTTGATTATTCAAGTTATTAGAATAGTAATTTATAAGATTTCATTCATTAATAAATTATTTGTGTAATTATAATTAGATAATAAAATATCATATTTATTAAAGCAAATTTATCATTATTGTTTAGTTTATCATCAATATGATAGATTTTTTAGATGAGTTAGACAGAAATTAATATCAGCCTGATTTTCATCTATTCTGAATATATTATTTTAAAATTGGTAAATTTTTCAATTATTAAAAGAAGTATTAATATATAATAAAATGAGAAAATCATAGGCAAAGATACATATTTATGATAATTGGAATTATACAATTTTTACTGATAAGATTACATTTGACCTTTTTCAAAATAAAGTCTATTAATAGTATAAAAATGGTAATAAACCTATTTGATGATTATCAAAATTTCATCAAAAAGTAATGGTATAGGAAGGCATTTCTCAAAAGGGAAAAACTTGTTTTACAAACATAATAGATGAACTATTTTATATAAATATTTTGGAGAACCAACTTCTTCCTGCTGCATAAAGCATGTATAGAAGGAATTAACATCTGCAATAAGATAATGATCCAAAGTATACATTACATATTGCTAAGGAATTCATTGCTGAAAATGGGATTTATGTAATTGATTGATTATTTAATAACTTAGATTTTAAAATATGTGACAAATAATAAAGAATAATGTTGAGAAACAAATGTCACAAATGCCACAAAATATTAATGATTTAACTAAATTTTTAGTTGAAGATGGAAGGCAATCACATACAGGAGACAGTTAAATAATTTAGTCACTTCCCATGGCAAATCAGTTTTAATAAATAAATAGCAATAGCTTTTCTATTAAACTTTTTATATATATAGTGCAGGTAAAAAGTAATCAGAAAAATATTTTTATTTATAATGCAATGAATAAGTGTTAATAATCTATGAAAATTTGTAGATATGTTAGATATGTTCCTTATGATATGATAAATAAATGATCAAAAGTTATACTATTAATATAACATTTGCTGCTTTCCCATCAAACATAAAAGATATTAAAAATATATTAAAATAATTAAATTTGAGAGGCAATATTATGATAAATATGCAACAAAATTCGATATTCTTTTTTTTATTTACTTTTTAGATTATCAAGTATATATTCCTCATAATAAATTATATATAATATATATATTTTTTTATTAGATTAATGGTTTAAATTTTAGAAATATTAAGCATATACATAACATAGACTATATTTTTCTATTAATTAAGCTTCTTAATATAAATTTAATATACCACGCAGAGCAATTACTTTATTAATTAAAATAACTAAATTGATATTTAATTACCGAATATGAGTTTTAAAATAACCAATGTATATCTATGCTAAACTTTTCGCCAAACGGATATCCGGATAATATGAATATCGTGTTCTTATAATGGCGTGGCTACTTTGCAACAGGTGAGATAAGATATGGGCTGATCGATCATACGAGCATCACTTGGATAATGAAATTTCAACAACATAAAAAGGACATAATTTTTCACTGGTTTGCACTTTAAGACTAAATTGTAAATCCAAAAACATGAAAATGAATTGTATCAGAATGTCGCATTTTCCAATTTTCCTTTATATAATATTGTTTCTCACAAACAATTATCTCGCACAAAATTCTCGTCCTCCATGTGTCATAGGAGACGATGACCACTGTGGTGTGGTACTGGATATGTATGTTCCCATTCATTAAAAGAAAACGCAGTAAATGAAGGACGTTGCATTTATGGCTGCCATGATAGTAATCAATGCAATAGCAAGTACTGTGTAAAATTAGTGACTGAAGAATATCCACATTGGTTGTGTTATTGTGCGGGTATTAATGATTGTCCTGGTGGCAATTGTGTCAGAAATCGTTGCGCTGGTCCTGGATCATTCGAATAAACGCATATTCTAAAATAAAAAAAATATGTTAAATTATACGTATAGAATAATATGTATTATTTTATATTGTTTACAACATAATCACAAATAAAAAACTAACTTTACATTTTATCTCGGAGGAGCTTATTTTTGCGTGTTTATAGTAGATATATAACAATTTATTTATTTATTTATTTTTATTTATATATTTTTTTACAATAGTATATTTATGTATTTTTATAGCAAATTTTTTCGTCTTGTTTCATAAAACTATATTATAAACACAAATAACATAATAAAATTCGAATTGGCCTGCGATACGAATAAATACACTGCTTTTACAAATTAATAATTAAAATTGTTCAAGAGCCTACCCTAATCCATAAATGTATAAATAAGAGACGGAATGTTCTGTTGATAAGGTCAATTAAATAAAATATTGTCATAAATTTCATTTCTTCGAGCATCTATTGGCCTTCTGAATCCTATAAATTATGAAAAAACCACAGTTTCTTCTTCCATTATTTGTTTATGTTTAAAAAGGAACTTAATTAGAAGTGTAATGATGAAGCGCTATTTGTTATCAGCCTATCTTTTTGTAAAAGATACATGTATGTATGTCACATTTGTTGCTAGAACCTAGACTTCCAATTTATATGGATTACATATAGCCGAAGCTTGGAAGTGTATCAATCAGCATTTGCTGTATCCCTCCTGTGCTTGCTTTTCGGCCGGGTTCTTCACCAGAATATCGCCTCCACTTTTTTTGAGGAAACGCATGGTCATTTAAATATGTTCTAAACATGCCGATATGTGTGCTGAAACTTCGAATCGACAAAATTACGTTCACTTAGCAAACAGAAAAACATTATATATCATGCATGTAATAAAGCTATTATCAAGCATTGAAAAAAAATATATTTGCAAAAATTATTATACAGAGAAGTCTTGTCGATTCTTCAGTTTTCAATATTCTGATTCGATTTATGAGCAGAATGTGACGGGACGGAATCATAAACAGAAATACGGGAAAAGTTATGAGTAATCATGCAACAGAATTATTGCCATAATACTGTAATAAGAACTGATTTAATTATCGGTAAAACATTCAATAAATAACGATAAGTCTAAAATAAAATCTTTTCAGGTGATTATTACTTTAATTTTGTATACTTTATGAAGGATACGAAAATTTCAATAAATCTAGAATATTAATATCAAAACAATATATAAACAGGCAAAATTAAATAATCGAAATAAATTTTATGACAAATAGTATATTTTCTCAAAAATGTTATATTACAATTTTTTTTACTAGATAAAATTTAAGAGATTCTTTATAAAGAAATCAAAATTGATAAAATATGAGAAAAATTAATAGGTTTAAAAGATTTCATGAGTAAAATCTTTACAATTTCATTTTTTCACATAATTAAAAATAAAGAATTATTTTTTTATAATAAATTTATATAATTATTTTTAATGATATAAAGAAATTAAATTTGTAATAAAAAATAAGAAAAATAATAATCATATGAGCTGATCTTAAATATAATTGTTAAAATTTTATTGAATTAAATACACAAAGAATTGATATATTATAATAAAGTTGTTAAATTAATATTTTATTTTATAAGGTTTTCAATGGTTTTATAACTTAAATATCAAAAATATTGGATAGACAAAAATTTTTTATACATTCGGAACGTCAATTATTATTCCATCGCATATGAATTAAAAAGCTTCGATACTTATATAGTAACAGGTTACTTATTACCATAGTTAATTAAATTAATTAAATTAATTAAATGTTTTTATATGTAGTAACGATCGCCAAGTATTTTGCGAAATTTTTAATTCAACAGCCAAGTGTAAGTAACAATGTACATATGATAGCGATAACGTATCTTCTGAAACAATTATCAACCATTATGTTGATCTTTTTTTTCAATATACATTTAACCTGTCAAAAAACTTTTCGGCCACTTCTTTATGCAAAGTCTAACATGGACAAGAAGATGGTTAATATAGTTACACAATACAAATTAAATTTTTGAAATATATTCTCCCTAAAAAAAATTTTTTTTTTTGATATTAACATGTCTTTTAATGGACAAGAAGTCCAATCATTTCCTAATAATCACACACCATTTGAATTTGAAAGTAAAGATATTGCTTCTTTAAGAACTTTAATTATTGATAATTATGATTCTTATACTTTTAATTTGTTACAACTTTGGGGCAATGAAACAAATAATGAAAATGTAGTTGTTATTCGAAACGATCAATTTTCTTGGTATATTTACTTTATAATTTAAGCGATATTTTATAATAATTAAATTAAGCAATATCTTTGATATAGAATTGTATTCTTTTTTTAATAGGAACGAATTTAAAGAGAATGTCCTTCCATATTTTGATAATATTATAATATCACCTGGACCAGGTAGTCCAGTAACCCCTTCCGTATGAAATTCTCTCTAAAACTTACTAAGAAAATATGAATCATCCAATAATATTAATTGAGCAATTTGTTTCTATCTATAGGACTTTGGAATATGTACCAAAGTGTTGGAAGAATTAGATATTCCTATACTTGGTGTATGTTTAGGACATCAAGGAATAGGTGCTACGTTTGGCGGTCAGGTATTTATAGGAATTCATTTTGCATATTTCAATTGTTGTTACTAATAATAATTTTCTTATATATAGTTAAAAAATGCAAAAACGATTATGCATGGAAGATTAAGTTTAGTTTATCATGAAGAAACCTTTGATTCCATGTCTTTATATTATGGAATTCCCAATCCATTTTGGGCCGTTAGATACCATAGTTTGGTTGTTGATAATAAAGATTTACCGTCTGAATTAATCATTTCGGCCTGGTGTTCTGATGAGAATGGTTCAAAAACACCCCCTTTCAAGGAGTCTAGTACAATTATGGGTCTGAATCATATTAGTAAACCTATTTACGGTCTTCAATTCCATCCTGAGGCATGATTTGTTAATTCATTTTGTTAATTTATGAATTTTTATTTCATAATTTAATCATTTTTTTTTTTTAAAAAAAAAAAAACCAATAAAAATAAAAAAAAATACATATCGTTTGTATTTAGTCTATTTGTACCGAATATGGATTTCAAATGCTCAGAAATTTTCAAATAATTTCTAAAACATTTTTAGAAAAGGTTTGAATATTTTGAAAAAAAAAGAAAAAGTAATTTCTTCGTTTTTAAAAAAGAAATTAATTAATTGAATTTATATTTATTGAACTTTTAGCGTGAGGTAACGTTTCCTCGTAGCAAAATTCCGTCAAATATTTTGTCTTATTCAGTTTTACCAAAACATTCGCATATCTTTAAACCTTTATCATCAGAGAATTCTACCAGATATTGTTTGATATTAAAGAAATTGAAGAAGGAGTTATGGATTGAATCTCATTTAGCATTTCAGCATATTGTAGCAGGCGATAAATCCACAGTTGGAACATGGTGGTTGGATAGTGCGAGGGTATAAAAATCATCGTTATCTTTTTTAAATTTTATTATATTTATAATTAACTTTTTTACTCTCATTGTCTTAGCAACCCGATCCAGTCAATAGATTTTCATTTATGGGATCAACACCAGCACTTTCAAATTCATTTTCAACATCTTATTCAACCCTTAGGCGAAGACTTTTAATCACATGCTCAAACGGATCTGTCATTAATAAAAAGTTGACAGATCAACAAACATTTTGGGATTGGATGTCAAAGACTATAAATTATTTTAATCAACGTATGGATAGTTTAAAGATATTGCATGATGATGGGACCCTAAATGATGTTAAAAAACGGAAAATCCCCTTTGATTTTAGATTGGGAATGGTCGGCTATTTTGGCTACGAGATGAAAAGGGAATCATTATCGGGTTATACAATTCCAACAAATCAACATTTTCCACAAACTTCTAATATACCAGATTCTGCATTCATTTTTACAACTCAGGCGATCATATTTGATCACTTAAAAAGAGAGATATGGTTATCAGGATTAGTTCGTCTTGGAGGAAACAAAAGTCCTAAGAATTTTGATTTTGTAGAAAATGAGTTAGGAATGTGTCCAGGACTTTTGTTAGATGCTTATAAATCTTGGATTACCTCTATAGAGAAACGATTGCGGAGTATCGATAGTTTCATGTCTAAATTGAAACAAATTCCACTTAAAAACAAAGATCGGAATGAAAAATTCTCCTCTTCAATTCAAACCCCTTTTACACCTGATATGAAACGAGATGCTTACATAAAAGCAATCGAAAAAGCACGTTCATATATATATGAAGGACAAAGTTATGAATTATGCTTAACTACACAATTTAGAACCAATTTTCCGAAAAAATTAGAATATGATTGGGTTGAACTTTATAAACACATTAGATCATTCAATCCAGCACCCTTTTCCGCGTTATTATATTTTTCAACTGAAGACATATGTATATTAAGTTCGTCACCTGAGAAATTTGTACAAATTAATAACGAAGGAATTATGGAAATGAAACCTATTAAGGGAACTGTTGCAAGGGCAAAGGGATGTTTTTGTTTAAATGTTGACGAATGCGATAAAGGAACTACATGCGAAGCGGGTCGAAAGAAGGAAGACATGAAAAGAATGAGTTGTCTTAAAGATGATGTTAAAGAGCGTTCAGAAAATTTAATGGTAACCTTTATTTGATGATCAAAAAATTTTTTAACTGTTAAATTTAAGATAAATTTTATTTACTTTTTTTTTTTTTTTTTTAGATTGTGGATTTGATTCGTAATGATTTAACACAATTATGTCAACCTAATACAGTACAGGTTCCTTATTTAATGAAAGTTGAGTCATATGAGACTGTGCATCAGCTCGTAACTACGGTTAGAGGACAGCTAAGGGAAGGTTTAGATTGTGTTAAAGCTATAGAAGGATGTTTTCCTCCGGGCTCGATGACAGGTGCACCTAAATTGAGAGCTGTTCAGTTATTAGATGAATTAGAACAACACAACCCAAGAGGGGTATATTCCGGATGTTTAGGTTTTATTTCTTTGCAAGATGGAACTGGACAGATGAGAAGCACATCTCACTTCAGTGTTGTTATTAGAACAGTTATTGTTTGCGGTGAAACTGGCGAAGTAACGGTTGGGGCGGGTGGAGCTATTGTTTACCTTTCAAATGCTGAATCAGAATGGGACGAGGTTGTATTAAAATCTCAATCTGTCATTCCTAGGTAAGTATTCATTTAATTTCAATTATCGTTATTTTGAAAAACTTTATTCAAACAATTTGTTTTATAATTTACATTAGTGTATTGGAATACATAAGGAAGACTATATAAAGAATATAATAATATTAGTTAATATATAATATAATAACGAAATTTGCTTTATTTATCCTTTAGAAATTTCATTTCGTAACCATAATTAAATAAATTATCATGCTAAACTCATAAATTCCCATCAAAAATTACGAATTTGTAATCTTTTGTTATCAAAATGGTATTTATATGATCTTTACTCGGATGATCACGGCAAAAAAAGCCACACGCTAAGCATACATAAATCTTTTCTAATACCTAATGTTGCCATAGTAAACGAGTAAACGAGTAAAGAGTATTTTAATATATTGCTATAGTCAATCAAGCTGAAATTTCATTCCATGTTTTCTTTGGTCATTTTTGATCAGATAGAATAATTGCACGACTGAAATGTGTGTCATTTTAAGTGGTCAGCCTGACCATGATTTTATGGTTAGCTGACCACCCCAGTGACAAATAGGATGTGACAAATAGGTTTCATACCATGTGAAAAAAACTAAGTCCAAACCTGGCACACATTTCAGATATGCAGAATAATTCCTCTATGACATCATCATTAGTTTTGGTGCGACCGGAAAAATTTAAGTTTGTGAGAATCTAGTGTAACTAATAAATCCTGAAAGGTCATTTGAACTCATAACGAAAAAAAATTATATATTCTTTTTTAAACGAAAAGATATTTATAAAGGTTTTCTTTTGTCGGAGTTTCTAACTCCAAAAAGTTATGAAATAATGTTAAAAAGAGTATTATTTTTATTTTTACTGGGTATTATTTGTATAACCTTAGCCAAGGCAGATCGTGTTAAATCTGATCGTTGGGGTTTCGAACATGCTCCAGCCAACTTTTTTTACTTTAAAAATAGTGACGTAAGTATTTTCATAAAAAAAGGCTCTTGAGGGTAATTTCGTTATATTTTATTGTTAAACTAATCAATTAATTAAATTTATTCATGATAAAATTAATTAAAAAAAAAAAAGTCTCTTTTATATCTTGATGTAAGTGGCAATGTTTGGAGATCAAAGGATGCAGGCGCCAATTGGGACCAGGTTACTGATATTCCAAAGAATAGCGCAACCGCTTTATATGAACATCCTTTTTCAAATAATGAGGTATATATTATATATTTTTTTAAAATAAATAAATTAAAATTAATCTAATGATGTTAATGTCACTTTGTTATTATCTAGGCTTACGTTCTTACACGTTACCTTAAACATTATAAAACATCTGATAAAGGGGATACTTGGAATCAATTTACAACAGAAATCCAACCAGCGAGAAATGATAGGGCTTTATCCTTTCATGCTCATAGAGGAGGTAACATATTATTTAGAGGAAGTAAATGTGTTAATATGTTTGAATGCAAAGATGTGGTTAGTGTTATTGAAATAAATATTGTAATTGATAATTAATATATATATATACACTAACCTAAAATCGTATTGAAATATGACTAGACTTATTACACTACAGATGGATTTGATACTCCACCAAAATTACTTCTCGAAAATATGAATAATTGTATATGGGCTCATTCTAATGGGGATTTTGATGAGGCACCCGAGCAAACAATTTATTGCATTTACTATAAAGGTTCTGGATCAATGAGAAAACCAAGTGATTATCGTTTGACCCAATCTGAAGATTATTTTGAACACTGGGATTATGTTAATTTTAATACTGGTGGTGATGTCAGTGGCGTCATTGGTCTTGGAACAATTAGAAAATATTTGGTTGCAGCTGTAAAAGATATCAATTCTTTGGATATGAAAATGTATGTATCCACAGATGGACTAAAATGGACAAGAGCACTTTTCCCAAGTAATGAAGGACCAACTCATAAACATGCAGAAGAAAATGCATATACTATACTAGAATCATCAACAAGTCATTTGGTGGTTGATCTACTTTCATCAGACTCTCATAATACGGGGAACTTGTTTTTTTCAAATTCTGATGGAACTTCTTTTGTCAATCGTTTGAAATATACAAACCGAAACAACAAAGGTTTTGTGGATTTTGAAGCTGTACAAGGCGTTGATGGAATTTTACTCGCAAATATTGTGAGTAATCATCAAGATATTGACAAAGGAAGTGCCATAGCAAAACTAGTACAATCAAAGGTTTCTTTTGATGACGGTTCTTCATGGAATTTTATTAAACCTCCAGAAAAAAGTTTAGGCGATACCGATTTCCAATGTGATAGTAAGAGAGACTGGCAAGATGGAACTTGTTCGTTACATTTACATTCAATTACAACCACTCGTAATATTGGTCATATTTATTCAGCCGGTGCAGCGCCGGGTGTTTTAATGGGTGTTGGAAATGTAGGATCATATCTCTTTCCCTATGAACTTTGTGATACCTTTCTTTCTTATGATGGAGGTTTAACGTGGAAAGTCGTTAGACTTGGTGCACATTTGTATGAATTTGGCGATTCTGGATCTATTTTAGTTATTGTTGATAATGAACAGCCAACAGATCGAATTTTGTATAGTTATGATCGTGGTGAAAATTGGTACGTCTAAGCAAAAATCAATTTTTCCATTCGTGCTAGTCAAATTCATTGATAATTATAATTATTTATAGGTACGAACATCTTTTAAAGAATAAGATTCGTGCAAGATTACTTACAACGGATCCTGATTCGACAACGACGAAATTCCTCCTTTTAGGCTCAATTGTTAATGATCATGATGCTCCTAATAATGGTGGTAGTAATAATCAATATTATATGTTCCACCTAGATTTCTCGAATTTATTTGATAGAAATTGCAATGATAACGATTTCGAGACTTGGGTCGCGAGAAATTTGGAAACTGGCCCTGATTGTTTAATGGGCAAAAAAGTAAGTTATTAAAGCTATTTCGATTTAAAACGACCTTTTTCAATCTAAATTATTTGGGAAATTATTAGTCATCTTATCGTCGTCGTAAGAAAGATGCTAATTGTTTCGTTTCGAGTGAATTCGAAAAACCTGCTCCAATTGAAGAGTTATGTCGTTGTACAGAAGAAGATTTCGAATGGTAATTTTAATTTCTACATTTTATATACTTTTATTGCAAATTATTTTAATTTCAATGTTATTTTAGTGATTTCAACTATAACCTTGAAGAAGATAATAAATGTAAACTTTCGGGAACTGAACGTATTCCTAATGGAGAATGTAGAGATGGCAAAAAAACATATTTGGGATCTTCAGGTTATCGTAAAATTCCAGGAAACGTTTGTGACCCAGATAAACCAGGATCAAAAGATCTTGCTACCCCAATTGAAAAACCATGTTCGGAAGGTAATAACTATTTAATTTATTAAAATGAGTTCAATGAATTATAATTAATTAATCAATCTTACACACGTATTTTCTAGGTCAATCAGACGGTGAAGTTTCACATAAAGTTCTTGATGTAGATCTCGATTATTATTTCTATTTCCCAAATTCTCAAGTAAATTTTTTCAGCTTTATGTATTAGTATTAAACCTTGATATTATTAAGCTTGATTAATTTTAATTTTTTTACCTCCAACTTTTTAGGTGTTAATTGCCAAAACAACTGATGGCAAGATTATAAGAAGTAAAGATGAAGGCACTAATTGGTCAAATGTCCTTGATGGTGCCGGTATTATTACGCATATGAAATTACATGATCACGATCAAAATCGGGTAAACTTTTTTTATTGTTTTTTAATCATCGCTACTATTCAATATAATCTAACATCTTTATTTTTTTAAAAATACAGGCGTATTTTTTCTCCGATCAAAATGATATGTGGTATACTACGGATCGCGGAGAAACTTTTGAAAAATCTAAACTTGATTCTGAGCCCAACAAACTTAATCTTCCATTACTTGATTTTCATCCCAAAAACTCTGATTGGTTACTATTTATGGCTAGTACTTCATGTCCTGGATGTTATTCAATTACCTATTTCTCTTCAGACAATGGAAAAACATGGAAAAATATAGAAACTTGGGCACAAAAATGTATTTTCGGAAGAGATACAAATTTTCCAATAGATGATAATACTATTTTTTGTTCTTCTTACAAAGATAAAAAGTCAAAAACAAAACAAGATGAATTAGGTGGTAGATCTTCAGATACAAATCCTTTACAACTAGTTAAGTTGAAAACTGATGGTAGTGGAAAGGTGGTTTTATTAAATGATGGTGTTGTTGAATTTTTCATCTTTAATGAATTTATGGCTGTTGCTACGGTTGGTTAACGTTGATTTTTATGAGATAGTTGTTAGATTAAAATCTTTTAGTAAAAAAGTAAAAATTATTCCTTTTTATATAGGAAGAACATGGGCAATTGACTCTTCGTATTTCAAAGGATGGAGAGACTTTCAATGAAGCGATTTTCCCACCAGATATAAGTGTAGACAAACAAGTAAGTTTGATATTTAACTATTGATCGATTAGATATGCTTAATTAAAATATTAATGTTTAATAATAGGCGTATACTATTCTTCAATCAACTACCGGATCGGTGTTCCTTGATGCATACAAATCTATACTTTATGGATCCGAACATGGTTCCTTGTTTAAATCTAACTCTAAAGGAACGGCCTTCGATAAAATTCTTGATAACACCAACCGCAATAATAGAGGAAATGTGGATTTCGAAAAAGTTCAGGGATTAGATGGAATTATTCTGGCTAATATAGTTGATAATGCTAATGAACTTGGTGGTGGCTCCAAGAAAATAATCAAGACAATGATTAGTTATGATGATGGTAAGTATTTAATGTTTAGTTTAAAGGTTTAAACATAATTTATTAAATTTAATTAATTTCAGGTTCTCACTGGAAACCTTTGAAATATAATGGGGTTTGTAAATTTCATCTAAACCAGAAATTTTTCCTCTTATATTTAATTCTAAATTAAATTCTTTTTTTAAAAACAAATTCTCAGGATCGTCTTCATTTACATAGTCGTACTGATATTATTGGACCAGGTAGTGTGTATAGTGCCTCACCTGCGATCGGTCTTTTGATTGGAGTTGGAAATACCGGAGATCAACTTTTGCCATACACCGAATGTAACACGTTTATGAGTCGCGACGGTGGTAGAAATTGGAAAGAAATACGACGCGGAGAAAGTTTACATGCATATGGTGACCGAGGAACAATTATTGTTGTGGTAGATGATGAAGCTCCCACAGATCACGTATTGTAAGTTAAATTTTTAAATCTAAATATATTTCACAATTATTTTTTTTTTTCCTAAAGTTAGACATTTTTTTTATACCTATATAGGTATAGTTGGAATTACGGGAAAGATTGGAACAAATATATATTCTCTTCAACTCCTGTCCGAGCTAGATTTATAATCAATTCAAATTCCAACGGTATGAAATTCTTGTTATTTGGATACACTGTTCCAGCCAATAAAGTTCGACCTGTCATGGTTACAATTGACTTTACACAATTGAAAAAAAGAAAATGTAAGCAAATTTATTATAATAAAAAATTTATTACATATAGTCAATCATTAATAATGTATTTTTAATTTCAGGCGTATTGGATAAAGATAATGATGTTAAAAACGATTTTGAATTATGGAATCCAATGGATAAAGAAAGTGATGATCATAAGTGTCTTTTGGGTGAAGAGGTTGGCTTTATGAAACTTTTGTAGTATCGATGACATAATAAAGCTTTCAACATTAACTTCGATATTTTTTAGATAAGGTTTTGGCGACGTAAAGCCGATAGAGAATGTCATATCGGAGATATGGAAGATGATTTAATAACTATACAAAAAAATTGTGAATGCACTAAACACGATTTTGAGTGGTAAATTTTATAAACTATCTTTGGCTTTTATTATTCTTTAACAGTATTAGATTTCAAAAAAAAAAAATTTTTTTTTTAGTGATATTGGTTTTTGGCGCGACGAAAACCGAAATTGCGTATTGAAAGGGCCTGACCCATTGCGCCCACCTAATTGCCCGGAGGATGGGACATACATAGGACGCTCAGGGTATGTTAAGATGGAAAAATCAAAATGTAAAGGAGGTAATAACCTTGGAGAAAAGATTGAAAGAAACTGTAAATTAGGTATGCATGTTTACTTATTTTTCTAAGATTTTTTCAATGAAATTAAAAGACTAATGATGATTTCTTTTTTAAGAAAACACTGGTATTATTTCTAAAACGGTACGTATGCAATCGTCGTATGCTAATTTTTTAAAAATTATTCTAATTAATTTATTTATAAAAACCCAACAGAAAGTATTTGAAAACCGAATTGCCAAACACTTTTATTCCAATGAATCCACCGCCATTTTGGCACGAACAATGGATCACACTATATGGAGAAGTATTGACGAAGGTTATTCATGGAATACAATCGCTATGCCTGATGATGATGCTAGGATAATTGCTTTGGTTCAAAATTCTTATTTCAGCAATTATGTAAGCAAATAGTTTTAATTTGTATCTTATCCAATATAAAAATGATTAATGCTGTTTGTAAATTTTTTTTTTTTTAAAACAAAAGGTTTATTTCATTACATCTGGAAAGAAACATTATTATACTGATGATTTTGGAGAAACTATCAAAAGTCTAGTTGTCCCAGCTGAGCCTAATGGATATCTAGCTCCGATAATTCTTGATTTCCACCCTAGTAAGTCGGAATATTTAATTTACACGGTCGGTAAGAATTGTGAAACCTTTTACTCCGAAAATTGTCATACCGAGGTAAATAGTATAATCGAATACTTTTGATTTAAATTTATCATTTGCAGTTTTTAGTTTTTAAATTTTTTCTTAATGTTGCCCTTACAGGCATTTTATACTCGGAATAATGGTGAAACTTGGGATTTACTTGATACGTACGTTGTAACGTGTTCATGGGCTCGTGACAAGAACTTCAAAGTATCACCAGATCTTATCTTTTGTGATTCGTATCGTGATAAGAAAGGATCGCAATTATCATTCATCAACAATCCACGTCAACTTGTATCTTCAACGGACTTTTTCAAAAATAAAAAGCTCCATTATCAAAACATTGTTGGATTCGCTGTTTTTGAAGAATTTATGGTTGTTGCTGAGGTTTGTACTTTTTTTGAAACTTTTATTTATTTTGGGTATTATTGGGGCTTTTTATTTACGTTTATCTCTGATTTAATAAAGCTTATGGAAACTAGCGCAAGTCTTCGTCTTTGGGTATCAGTTGATGCTGAACATTTTGCGGAAGCCCGATTTCCACCAAACATGCCAATAACTCGCGAAGTTCGTTTTAAATTTTTTTCGGAAATTCTTTTTTTAAATAAAAATTAAAGAATTAAATAATATCCAACTTCTCTTTTATATATAGGCCTTCACTGTCTTGGAATCAATCACTCATTCTATCAATCTTCATGTCACTACGTCAATAAATAATAAATTTGGCAACATCTTGAAATCTGATTCGAATGGAACCTATTATTCATTGTCATTGGAAAACGCCAATCGAGATGATCGCGGTTATGTTGATTTTGAAAAAATGCAAGGCATCCGAGGGATTGCTTTGGCAAATATTGTTAGTAACGTTAATGAAGTTATTATGGGTGATAATAAAAAGTTGAGATCTAAGATTACTTTTAATGATGGCAAGTGTTGATATATTCTGTTGTTATATACCGTGAGATTTTTTTAACAAAAAGTTTTTTTTATAGGATCTATTTGGAGTTTTTTGAAACGACCAGATGTTGATTCTGATGGCAATACATATGAATGCGACACAGATGCAAATAAGGTGAATAATATTAAATTAATCACATCAACTTTCGCATTGATGTTAATAATATTTTAATGTTGTTACAGAACGATACGGAAGGCCGTTGCTCTTTACACTTGCATAGCTTTACTGAACGTAGAAATCCGAGTGATTCCTTTAGTTCCTCTTCTGCTGTTGGTTTGATGATGGGCGTTGGAAATGTTGGTGACTATCTTACTCCATACTTAGACGGAGATACATTCTTAACTAGAGATGCAGGTGTCACATGGAAAGAAATTAAGAAAGGTGCTTATATGTATGAATTTGGAGATCAAGGTGGTATCTTGGTGTTGGTTGATGATGAGCGTGAAACAGATCGCGTATTGTAAGCTTTATTCATTTTCAACTTTATTTACTTTATTTATACTATTTAATATTAAAATTTTTTTCGACAATAAGTTATTCACTAAACGAAGGATACTCATGGCAAGAATACAAATTTCTTAAAAGTAACGAACAACCGATCAGAATTTTTGATATTGAGATTAAACCAGGTGGTCTAAGCAGTAAATTCATATTACGTGGGTTACTTCCATCCGATTATAATAAGGAAGTTATAGTGCACCTTGATTTTACAAACGCCTTTGTAAGAAATTGTAAGTATACGATTATTTAATTTAATTAAATGTTATTTTATATATTTACATATTTTATTATTTGTAATTTTTAGGTAAAGACGATGATTTTGAACCTTGGTCACCAAGCCATGCAGAACATTCAAATTCAGAAAATCAATGTTTATTCGGTCGCAGGGTAATTTTTACTATTAATATTTTATCCCTCCATATGTAATAATTTAATATATATACAATTATTATTTTTTTATTACATGCAGATTACATATCAGCGAAAGAAACTTGATACAGAATGTTTCATTAAAGATTATAAACCTGTTGAAGAGGGTGGTATTTGTGAATGTAAAAAACACGATTTCGAATGGTAAGCCAATTTAATTATTTTTGACTGAAGATTAAAATAAGAATATAGGCATTTATCAAAAAAAAATTTTGTATTAGTGATTATAATTACATGCGTAACGCGACAGATCATTGCGTATTGGTGTCTCCTGACGCTAAACCATTAGTTCGTGATATTTCTGAACAATGTGCCAATGGTGAAGAATTTTGGTATGAAGTGTCTGGGTAAGTGTAGCTTCAATAATAGTTTATTTTTTTTTTTGATTATTTTCACTTAATTTTTATGGTTAACGTTTTCTCGCGTTTAAACTAGTTATCGTAAACTTGCAATAACCAAGTGTACGGGTGGATCTATTAATTATACCGGTGAAAGTCATCGTTGCCCGGGACACCATTCCGCTTTATTCTGGATATTTGTTGTATTGTCGCCCTTCGTCATTGTTGGAATTTTGACAATTTGTTTCATTAACAAAAGACATGAACGGTTAGTTGGATTTGTACCAATGTTCGTATAGTATCTTATATATCATATCGTTTACTAACAACTGTTATTTATATTCGTTAGACATATTCGACTTGGAAGTTCTCTTGAACCTAATTCCATCTTATCTTCTATCATTGATATATTTTATCAAATCAAAATACCAAGATTTATTTCAAGATTATGGTCTAAAGTCCCATTACCGGGTCGCGGATACCGTTATTCGTCTGTTGCTACAGATGATGGACATGAAGTATTAATGGATGATTATGATCGTGATATCGAGACTTCATAATAGAATAAATTTCTTATGTATAATAATATTTCATATAAAAATTCTAAAAATTTTTTTTTAAAAAAAGCATACTGTTCATTTTTATTGTTTCACTTGTTTTTAAAAAATAAACTTCACTTTGTTTATTTATTTTGTATTTTCGTTTATGAAGAAGTTTTATAACAACAATTATAGATAGTATTGTGATATTAAATTAATAAATTGATTATAACAATGTTCATATAAAATGACTTTTACTGTGTAGATTATTTAGGAATTGAAAAATGATTTGTGAATATTTTCTGTTTCTTGAATAATTTCTTTAATGCATTTGATTTTATGTATTTTGATATACTTTTTTTCAATATTTTCAGGTAATCGACGGTGCGATTTACTAGGCAATTCTACCCTCCAATCCTTTGTCATCTTGATGTATTTGACAAAATACATTCTAGAAATAAAATTTTTTATCTTCTCAAAGTGATTTATACTTTCAATATAAAACTATGAGATTTAGTTCAAAATTTTGGCTAGAACAAAAAATGGAAAATAAAGTTTTAGAATAGAATAAACATATTTCTTGGGCATAAAAGAATGAAATTATTATAGATAATTTATTATTTTAATTTACAAAATTTTATTAATCAAATTTTATTAAATTATAGAAATATATAGAAAATTCAAAAATTATTTGTAAAATAATGTTAATTTTTCACATTCTAAGTTTATTTAATTTAATTGAAAATTATATTTCTTGAGATTTTGCTAAACAAGTTAAATTACCTTATTCTTCTTAATAAGAAATATAGCATATTAAATTGTTTTATTAGTATTTTTAATTTATATATTATTATATGTGTCAATTACAAAGTCAACCGACTGAAAAATAGACCTCAACACGTATAGCAAGATTTTAGGTATCTGAAGGATAATGATTTAACTTAATAACTTTAAAAACTTGTTCACGTTGATAAAACTATTTGAATTAACAATATATCAATTTATAAATACAGAAATGTTGAGGATATATAAATATAAATTGGGAATACGTATGAATACTTTGAATATGATGGAAGAGCAATAATGATGGATTGGGTTTTAGGTCACGAGTTTAACAGATTAATGTTATAGAGATAAAGTTTAATTTATTAATAAAATATAAGTGAATTAATACATTTCAATAAACTAAATAAATTCTTGTTCATGAATTTATCAGTATATGAATTTCACAATCAATTTTCTAATTAACTAAAACTAAAATTGAACTCAAATCTAACTCAAATCTAACTCAATTCTAACTACAGCAATATCCTATTTATATAAAATATTTGATCTACTTCTATTACTATTTTAAGATAAAGTAAAACTATTAAAATTAATGAAACATTGTAAATTTCATTAACTTAGTTAACTATATTAATTAATTTAACTAAATAAATATAAGAAACTAATTAAACTTAAACAACTACAGTAGTAGTGAAAAAAAATGGCAGTTGCAATTATGTAATTAAAATGATGATTTACATCACATCTGATTAGATAATATAATCCAATTTTTTGTTTGATTATTTACTACACATTATACTGATCAACATGCATAAAAAAACTAAGCATAAGAGTATCTCATAGCCAATATAATGTAATAATACCGCAAAAAATTTCTATTAAAAAATGACGTGAGGTGATTAAATCATTATGGAATAATGGAATACAATATGTAAACGAACTACACAAAATTA